CAAAATCAGCACAAAACGTCAGTGTAAAGTATCACCTATATTAGGAAGTCTTTCAGGATTTATTTTTCTTTCATCTTAAAGTTTTTGTTTTGTTTTGTTTTGAGATGAAGTCTCGCTCTATTGCCCAGCCTGGAATGCAGGGGCGCAATCTGGGGTCACTGCAACCTCTGTCTCCTGGGTTCAAACGATTCTCATGCCTCGGCCTCTCAAGTAGCTAGGACTACAGGCATGTACCACCACACCCAGTTAATTCTTGTATTTCTGGTGGAGACAGGGTTTATTTCACCACGTTGGCCAGGCTGGTCTCAAACTCCTGACCTCAAGTGATCCGCCTGCCTCAGCCTCCCAAATTGCTGGGATTACAGGTGTGAGCCACTGTGCCCAGCCCTAAAGTTATTAATTAACCATTCTAAACACAACACAAGAGAGCAAAGAGGTAACAGTTGCCACACTTAAATGCAACTCTACTACCTATTTAACAGTAATTGGTGGCTGGGCACGGTTGCTCACACCTGCAATCCCGCAATCCCAGCACTCTGGGAGGCTGAGGCAGGCAGATCACGAGGTCAAGAGATTGAGACCATTCTGGCCAACATGGCGAAACCTCGTCTCTACTAAAATTACAAAAATTAGATGGGTGTCGTGGCGCACACCTGTAGCCCCAGCTACTCAGGAGGCTGAAGCAGGAGAATTGCCTGAAGCCAGGAGGCAGAGGTTGCAGCTAGCCAAGATCGTGCCACTGCACTCCAGCCTGGCGACAGGGCAAGATTCTATCTCAAAACAAACAAACAAACAAAACCAGTAACTAGTGATAGCTGTGGAAAAACCAGGCCAGGTTAACTCCAGCTTCCTGGGTCTCAATTGCTTCTGTAAAAATGAAAATGTAAAATTAGATTTCTATGGTTCTTACCAAGTTTCTATTATTTTAACATTTTGTAATGAATCTGCACATAATTCTACTGAACATGAAAAAAAGAACTGTTACTACATTCAAGTGATTTCAAAATGTCATCTTAAATTCTTCAGACATATTTTTATCTATTAAATATCTATTTATTTATTTTTAGACACAGGTTCTAGCTCTGTCACCCAGGCTGGAGTGAAGTGGCACAATCATGGCTCACTGCAGCTTTGACCTCCTAAGCTCAAGCCATCCTGTCGCCTCAGCATCCCAACCAGGACCACAGGCACGTGCCACCATATTCCGCTAATTTTGGGGGGTATGTTTTGTAGAGATGAGGTCTTGCTGTGTTGCCCCAGGCTGGTCTGGAACTCCTGGCCTCAAGTGATCCTCCCACCTCCAGACATATCTGGAAACAAATAACTTCCACTTTTCCACTTACAGACTATATGCAGCATTTTTAAAACTCCACTCAAATTCCTCCTCCAGAACTCCCCCACCTCCACTCTAAACTTATTTAAACTCTTGTCCTTCTAACAATTGATATGGTCAGGGAATACAAATTAATTTGAATACTGGCTTCTAATTTTTAGTTAAATGATTTACTCTAAAGCAAAGTAAAAATTAAATTTGAAACATTTCTAGTTTTATCTATAACTGCTTTTTCCAAAAGTCTAGTTAATAAAGGTTTCAATACGCTTACTTTTAACCATGCTTAATAACACATAAGTAATTAGGAACTTAATCATCCTACTGCTACATCTGCCTGGCATTGTTAATACAATGGTATGTTAATGATTGATTACATTAATCGACAGGTAGAGCCAACGCTGTAAAGAAAACCCAATGGAAATGCTAGGGTATGTCACTTGCTTCATAAAAACATTTAGCAGTGAGTTTCTTTAAACAAGAAGTTCTCCTGGGGAAGATGAAGTGTTTACTTACAGATATTTCATGGAAGGAAAGACTAGATAAACTAAATGTTAGGAAATGTACTCAGGTGAAGACTAAATAAATTAAAGTACAGATCAAAAGAAAAGCCATCGATATGGCTACTACACAAAATCATCTCCAGGTAGCCCTGAACACACCCTCCTCTTATCCACCACAGAGCCTTGTATACCACAGAAGTGTTCACCTGGCAACTGGTAACTTTCAAATTAGAAACCAAAAGTATTGGGCCTCAGACATGTATTCAAGCAGCAAAATTATAGTATAACAAAACAATTTTACCTCTTCCTTATATCGACTTATAGGCAAATCAGGATATTTATAAGTTGTCCCTGGGATGCACGTCACATTGCTTAATTTAGCCAAAGATGGCCTTGGACCTGGATTAAGTCAAAACAAACAAATATAATGCCATTTCTTATCTGGAAAAAGATAACTCAATGTTCTATCTAATCTATATATACAGCATACACACATACACACACCATACACACACAATCAAATACAAAAATACAGGTTAAAACTGCCATCAGGGCAATACCAAAGACATGGAATGAACATAGGTATTCATCAATGGTGAATTGGATAAAGAAAACATGGTATATATATACACCATGGAATACTATGCACCCATAAAAAAGAATGAAATCATGTCCATTGCGGCAAGCAATATGGATGCAACTGGAGGCCATCATCCTAAGCAAATTAACACAGAAACAGAAAACCAAATATCACATGTTCTCACAACTGGGAGCTAAACCTTGGGTACACATGAACATAAACATGGGAACAACAGCCACTAAGGACTCCAAGAGGAAGAGGGAGGGAGAGGCGAGGGCTGAAAAACTTCCTATTGGGTACTATGTTCACTATCCAGGTGATGGGATCAACGGAAGCCCAAACCTCAGCATCACCCAATACACCCTTGTAACAAACCTGAACATGTACCCCTGAACCTAAAATAAAATGTTTAATTTCTTAAGAAACGTCTCTTAGTAGTCCACTATTAATCTTGTCTAAAAGCAAACTGAGAACATTCCATCCCTCCATCACAGCCATCAACATTGCAAGCTCAGCACTACCTTCTAAAATAGGCCTGTAAAACATGCACTCATTGCTGATTCAATGGTACCAAAACAGTTAAAGAGAAAACTTTCCCTTGAAATTTCAACAGAATGCATCAATTTAAGTGTGCATTCCCTGCTACTAAAATACATCAGTGGTAGCAATAAATAAATCAAACAATGTATGAAATACAGGTATCAGGAAAGGGGGCAGCTTGCCTCTGCTCAGGATGCATGATACAGAGTTCTGACAAGGCACACTCTTCTGCCCTCTTGTAAACATATGCCCTGCTCTCTGGCTGCACTGCAAATTCTAGACCTCTGGTCATCACTTGACAAACTGACAAATCATCAAAACTCACAGAAGACAAACTTTTGCTGAGAAGTAAGTTTTACTTCCAAAATAAACTCTTAGCCAAGTTTAGCACCATACTCATTCCCCCACCCACAGCTCACCTTCCCTTCCTATCAGCCCCTGGTTTCTGACCAGCATCTCCTGCTGCGTCACCCTCGGCCTTTCCTAATAAAACACACAACCAGGCTTCTCTCTTGCTTTCCTACATCTTTTCCCTACATATATTCCAATTTTCATAATTGGTCTAATAATACATAATTAAAATGTGGCTATTTTCCCACATTTGAATCAAAGTTATGTGGTCCCTGTTCTCAATTATATAAACAGGAGCCAGATCTGTCATACTTTCTCAAAGCAAAAATAGCTTCTTTGTGAGCAGCAGTGTTCTTCCTAAAACATTAGTGACCCCTAACTTGGGAAAGCTAAGTCCTGTCAATATGGCTTTTTTTTTTTTTTTTTTAGACAGAGTCTTGCTCTGTTGCCCAGGCTGGAATGCAGTGGCGCGAACTCGGCTCACTGCAACCTCTGCCTCCTGGGTTCAAGCGAATCTCCTGCCTCAGCCTCCAAGTGCTGGGATTACAGGTGCCCACCATCAAGCCCAGCTAATTTTTGTATTTTTAGTAGAGATGGGGTTTCACCATGTTGGTCAGGCTGGTCTCGAACTCCTGACCTCGGACTCCCAAATTGGTGGGAGTACAGGCGTGAGCCACCACACCCCACCTATGGCTTTTTAATCTTCTAATCAGCCTCACTAGTGATTGCCAAGTTCACTAACACAGGGATTTTCTTTCCATTGTCAAGTCTCACTTTACTTCCATTACTCTTCTCAGTGCTATGATAATTACTGATGCCTTCTTGTTTTCCCAGTTAGCATACCTAGGCCTTCTTGAACATAATAAAAGAAGGGGAAGAGAATCCACATGATCCTTGTGAATTGGACTGAGAGAAAGAAGCCCCTGAGCCCAGACGCAGCATGCAGACAGAGGGAGAGGCAAGTATTATAGTGAGGAACAGGGTGGAAGTAAGAAGCTGAGGAAGAGCTATTCAAAGGGGAAAGAAGGTGACAAAGACTCTTTTAGAAAGATGAAAAAGGCTGCAGCCACATTCGTTTTGCTAGAAGACTTCAAGCCCTGGCTCACATGCTGCTAAACAAGCCCTGTTACTTTGACAATATTGGCTTACATTACTTGATTACATGCATTTTGAAGGTTGCTACTTAAAGACAGAAATTTTACAAGAAAAAATTCCAGAAGTCCTAACAGTACTGTCTATATGATAGCCCCTTCTCCATGTAACGCAAAACACAAGCTGACGTTTTTAGGTCACTGGCTGAAGCAGACCCAGCACAAATCAAGTCCTGCCTCCGTGTACACTGCCAAAGGGCAGACAGGAAACCAAACAACAGAAATGTTCACAGCTGTGTGGTTTTTGCACCTTTGCATCAGCAACAGAATAAGAAGGAAAACCATGGTGGATAATTTAAGGCAAATCAACAAACTACACATGACAAAGCAAAAATCCAAAAATGGCATGAGAAATAGCTCAATCTTAAAATTGACTATTCTTATTTTCTTGCTATCTCTTTATCCTACATGATTAACAACAAAATATTTTACATGAACTGGGAAAAATTGGAAGCCATAAAAATTGCTAGTTCTCTTCACTAAGACACTCCACTATATCATCATTAACCAAATATGAAATGTAACCAAAAAGTTCAGCACTTAGAGGTTCTAAACTGTATGTAAGGAATTTTAACTGATAAGCATTATGTCAGCTCATATGGTGAACTTAAGACTTATCTTAAAATCTACACACTATATATTACAGAAAATAATTTTAATTACTGCATTACTGATTTGACCATAAAATTAAATCTTCAAAATAGATAATTATATATGACTTTTTCTGAGTATGGACTAGTATTCTGAATACAAAATTAACTTGAAAGAATAATGTTTCCCTTTCAGTTATTAGACATTCCACATAGGCCATTCTCTTAAAACTAGAAGAAAAGCTAAAAGGAGGATGCAAACAGCCACTAAATATATCACCACATTTAAAAGGAGGCAGCACTGTGGAATTTAACTACAATCTAAAGACTCTATCCCAGGTCAAATCCAAATTGTCATGTAAAAGCAACAGAACCCTTCAGGAGTCGACAATCTAGAACCAGGCTCACATTGTTAGGAAAGATTTCATTTATCAATGCAAATCAATCTCAGTTTTCAAAAAATGATTAATTTTTATGTAAAATGATTCTAATGTAATTTATAGAAATTCACTGAATGGGTATCCTTGGATTTCTATTTAGAAATAATTTTTAATACTTATAAGTGAAATAACACCTGTATCAGACCAAAATCAAAAGTGTTTTGAATCAAATTATTTTATAACTGGATATAACAAAATGTTCATGTTGAAACCTGTGGCACTGGACTAGAATTAGAGGCATCAGTGTAATCTCATGGTTTTAATAGAAATAGAAATAGCTTTGTGTCTGTATACACACACACACACACACACACACACACGCGCGCGCGATAACCTGACCTCACTTCTTCAATGCTCCAGAGGCACTTCAACACTTCAAAACATTTAGCAGACATGATGGTGACACCTTTATAGTCCCAGCTATTCAGGAAGCTGAGGTTGCAGGATCACTTGAGCCTAAGAGTTCAAGGCCTGCCTGGGCAACATAGCGAGATCTCATCTCAAGGAAAAAAAAGTGGACAGCACCCCTCTGCCTCCTGTGGCCCCCTCCTTCACCCTGTGTCCAAGGCATCACCAATTCCTGTCCGGTTTGTCCCTCAACTGGCCCTACTCCTCCACTGCCATCCCCTGTCAAAGACACCATCAAGTCTCACCTGGACTAGGACAATGCCTCCAGTTCTCCTCAGGTCCACTCTGGCCCCCTCCAATCAATTCTCAAAAATATGACCGAAGTATTTCTTGTAAAACACAAATCTAAACACAAGACACCCACTTCCTCCCTTCACAGTCATCCCAAAAAAAGCATGGAACCTTTCATAGCTTCCCACTGCTCTGAGTATTAAGACTAAAACTCTTAGTTACAGCCCATAGGCCCTGTTACTAGTCTTGCCTATCTCATCCAACCTCATCCTATACAAGTGTGTTAGTTTTCCACTGCTGCTGTCACGTTTTACCTCAAACTTAGTGGCTTAAAACATGCATTGATTCTCTTACAGTTCTGGAAGCAGAGGTTCAAAGATGTGAAGGACAAGGTGTTGGCAGGGCTGCTGGATCCTTCCGGAGGCTCTGTAAGGAGGAATCTATTTCCTTGCCTTATCAGCCTGGAGAAGCTGCCTGCATTGGCTCATGGCCTCCTCCCTGCATCACTCCAACCTATGGCTTCTGTTGTCACATCTACTACTGACTGATCTTCCTGCTTCCCACTAGGAAAAACCCTGTGATGACATTGGGCCCACCTGGAAAATCTTGCCATCTCAAGATCCTTAACTTATATCTGCAAAGACCCCTTTACCATGAAGGTGACATATTGACAGGTCCTGCGGATTAGAACATAGACCTCTTTAGGAGGCTATTAACCTCCAGCTGACCCTGCCCAGCCCTCCCACACCCACTGTCTACTGCCTAGCAGCACTGGCCCCTCTCTCAGGGCTGGAATACCAGGCTTCCTTTCAGCACAAGGCCTCTGCACACACTTCCCTCCCAGCACCCCAACACTGCCTCGGTAAGGTTCACTCATCCTTCAGATCTAAGCCCAACTGTTACTTTCCTGACACCACAGCCCAAGTCAAATCCTTGTTTTATGCCCCCATACAGCTGCCTTTCAAAGAACTTATTTCCAAAAAGTATTTATTTGTGTAACTGGATGATTAAATGATCATCTCTATAATGATCAGAGATGATCAGAGTTAAAAGTCTTTTTTACTTGTCAAATTCTGGTTGTCTCATACAGCCCCTGGAACACACCTTGATAAATGTCAGTGGCTAAGCAGCCAAAACCTCCATAAGTAGCCAAAGCCATAGTTGATCCGATTGCCCCAAATATATTATGATACCATGCATAAAGAAAGCAAAGAGAGTTTCACATATGAACTTAAAAGTATGAGAGCAGACACTCTTACAGGCATTCATTTGTAATCTAGCTAGTCCTAAAGAGTAGTAATCCATCTGGCACGCTACAGGCCCAGCCTGCAAGGTGTGCCAGCTCCTGCCTGTGCCCCCGGGCCAGTACATGAGTGTGACAAGAAGGATCACATCACACAGAGTCATCTATAAACTAACTAATGTGCTTTCCAAACAGAAGTATCAGATGATGGCTCTCTTTCCACAATAACACATATGGCTACTTAATACCACCAAAGCTGCAAAGTACTCTTCCTTTGTACAAAAGACCAAAGTCACCAATCCTCTTGTTCACTGTCATTTAAGAGATTCTTAAGACTTCCCATAGGTAAGCAACAATTCAATAAACATTCTTATACATACAACGTTGTACTTTTCTTAGCATAAGTAGAAACTGGACCAGAGATAACACACATTATGAATGCTCACTTCTGTTAATACACTGGGTTATTCAGACAAATCTCCTTCCTGAGGTCAACTAAAGATGTTAGATGAAATACACAAACCTCTCCTTAAAAGCACCAAAGGGCTGATGAAATAGCAAGGAAACATCAGGCCAAAGCCTATGATGAGGCAAGAACACAGGAAGGGAGGCAAAGTACCAAAGGCTGCTTTTACCTTAAGGTGATAGATGTAGCAGAAATTAACCAGAATAGAGCATAGTGACCAAACAAATGAAAAACACAAAACTAAATGAAAGAGTGGGCCATAGATGATGGCTTGGAATTTTCCTGGACTCATTAAAAGATACCAATTGGTATAGTCAGGAAGCCCAAATCAATCCCAAGAATGATAAGGATTAATCCACTATTATGTATCGACTGTATTTCATACTTTTTAAAAGGCTGAAAAAGAAAGTGTTACTTGAACCCACACTTGTGCCCAACTCTGAGCACACATACACAGGATGGCAGGACAGGAGGCAGAGCTTCTCAACTGAACTAGCAGAAATCTATGACAGATGACCTCTCATAAAGCAAAAAAAATCAAAAGATAACTTCTATCACATGAATAGGGTCTGGTGCTAGTAAGACAATTTGCTCAGAAAAAATTTCATGCTCACAGAAAGTAACTAACTGTGAACTCTGAACAGTTGTACTCTTGGAAACTGGGAATTTAAGAAGGACCTTTTACTTTTTTATTTTATACATTTCAGCATTATTTAAAATTTCATTTTAATTTCTTTATTGTAAAAAAAAAAAGTAGTTTTAATTAATAGGAAGGTAAGAGACCATTATTAGTCTTCCAAAGAACAGACTATTTAGGAACCACATTCAAAATAGAAAAAAATTAACATTTTACAACCTACCATACATTCATCCCAAAAAAAATCCCTAATTAGCGAGTAGTAAGGATTCCCTACTATAACTAAAATACTACATTTCTTTCATTTTTATTTATTTATTTTTTTGAGAAAGGGTCTCACTCTGCCTCTGCCACCCACCAGACCCACTGTTTTACTCCCATAGCCACACTGGCCTCTTTCAGGGCTGGAATACCAGGCTTCCTCCCAGCACAATGCCATCTGCCACACATGATTTAATATACTACTATATATATAATATATATATTACTAGTATATAAATATATTTATTATTATTTTTTTTTTTTTTTTTTTAGAGAGAGAGGGTCTCCCCCTATGTTCGCCCCAAGGAATGAACGTTGAACTCCACTAAGCCTCAAGTGACCCGCCCACCTCAGCCTCCCAAGTAGCCGGGATTACAGACGTACACCACCACATCCAGCTAATTTTTTTTATTTTTTGTAGAGACAGAGTGTCACCATGTTGCCCAGGCTAGTGTTAAATTCCTGGCCTCAAGTGATCCTCCCACCTCAGCCTCCTGAGTAGCTGGAATTACAGGCATGCACTGTGAACCTAATATTTTAGCATGTGAACCACTCATGCATCCTATCTAAAATATTTAAAGAGACCTGTTTACCTGGCCCACTGGTTGGTTGGACACTGCCACACACATCAAGCTCTTGTGCTTCAAGCTGTCTGTATTTGTTAATATATTCTACTTCTGAGCTCCTTTGGCTGAGTGACCTGAAAAGAATAGTAAAAGTTAGTATACTATTTCCAAAAAGCCAAGAAACCCTTGTGTACCAGAGAAGTTTTTCACATTAAATCATGGGAAAAAATGCAAATAGTCAATAAACAAATGAATATACACTCAAACTCAGTTACCAGGCAGATGCAAATTAAAACAATGACAAACCATTTTTTCACCCATCAAATTGGCAAAAAGAGCAAATATTTTCAGAATATGTATGAGGACAGATACGTTTATGGTAAATGGGTATGACCACTTATTCTGAAGGGTAGTTTGCAGTATCATTTTTTTGAGGCAAGGTCTCTCTCTATCACCAAGGCTAGAGTGCAGTGTTGTGATCATAGCTCACTGTAACCTCAGCCTCCTAAGCTCAAGCAATCCTCCCACCTCAGCCTCCTGAGCAGCTGAAATCACAGGTGTACACCACCACATCCAGCTAATTTTTTATTTTTTGTAGAGACAGGGTCTCACTATATTGCCCACACTGGTCTCAAACTCCTAGACACAAGCAATCTGCCTGCCTTGGCCTCCCAAACTGCTGGGATTACAGGTATGAGCCACCACACTCAGCTATAGTATCTTAAAACTTAAAACAGCCGAACAGGGTGGTTCACACTTGTAATCCCAGCACTTTGGGAGGCCAAGGCAGCTGGATCATTTTGTGCTCAGAAGTTTGAGACCATCCTGGGCAACATGGTGAAACTCCATCTCTACAAAAAATACAGAAATGAGCCGGGTGTGGTGGCTCATGCCTGTGGTCCCAGCTACTAAGGCTGCGGCTGGAGGATCCCTTGAGTCAGGAAGTGGATGTTGCAGGGAACCAAGATAGTGCCACTGCACTCCAGCCTAGGCAACAGAGTAAGACTCTGTTTCAAAAAAAATAAATAAACAGGCTAGGCATGGTGGCTCACGCCTGTAATCCGAGCACTTTGGGAGGCCAAGGCAGGTGGATCATTTGATGTCAGAAGTTCAAGACCAGCCTGGCCAACATGGTGAAACCCTGTCTCTCCTAAAAATACAAAAACTAACCGGGCATGGTGGCGGATCCCTGTAATCCCAACTAAGGTAGGCTAAGGTAGCAGAATCACTTAAACCCAGGAGGTGGAGGTTGCAGTGAGCCAAGATGGTACCACTGCGCTCCAGCCTGGGCAACAGAGCCACACTCCATCTCAAAAAGAAAACAAAATAAAAACTAAAAACTAACCAAAACTTAAAACACACATCTCCTACAATCCAACTTTTCCTCAGAATCTTTCTTTAACATCAGCACATGTAAACGAAGCACATGCAAAGACATGCATGGAAACATTCATTTGTTCAGCAAATATTTACTGAACACCTATCGCACAAAAGGCACTGTCTCTGACACTAAAGATACAGCAAGAAACAAAACAAAGTCCTTGCCCGCAGGAAACTACCATTCTTGTGAAGGAGACATAATAGATATGTAAAATGCTGATTAGAGATGTGGACAAAATTAAAATTGGGTGGCGGTATTAAGGATTCCAGGGAGGAAGGGTGTATTTTCGTAATATTTATAATAATTAAAACCTGAAAACCATGTCCAACAGGGGACAAGCTAAAATGATGGCATACCTTAGTTAATGTCTATCATTTTTAAAGAGTGTCATGGCTCTATTCATGCCAATAGATAAACATGTCCAGAACATTAAGTGAAAAAAGACAATTGTGATATGCATTATATGCTATCACCTATGTTTTCCTTATCAATATCTAGTTTAAATGCACTGTTGTCAAAGAGATTATATGACACTGATTCTTGAAATTTGAGACAAACTTTATGTAATGATTAATTTTATGTCAACTTGAATGGGTCAAGGGATGCCCACGTAGCTGGTAAAACATTTCTTCTGGCTGTGTCAGGGTTTCAGGAAGAGGTTAGCATTTGAATCAGTAGACTGAGTAAAGAAGACCTGCCTCAGTAATGTGGATGGGCATTACCAGTCCACTAAGAGCCCACCCAGGCAGAACAAAAAGGATAAGGAAGGGTCAATATTCTCTTTTTGAACAGGGACATCCAGTCTCTCCTGCCCTGGAACACTAGAGTTCCTGATTCTCAGATCCTCAGCCTCCGACATTCGTATCAGCAGTCTCCCATCCCGGGTTCTCAGGCTTTGTCTTCTTGGATTGGGAGTTATAGCATCAGTTCCCCTGGTTCCCAGGCCTTCAAATTCAGACTAAATTTCACCACCGACTTTCCTTCTTCTCCAGCTTGCAGAAGGTATATAGTGAGGCATCTCAGCCTCCACAATCACATGCACCAAGTATCATCAGCAATCTCCCCACTCTTACAGATCTATATATATCTTATTAGTCCTGTGTCTCTGGAGAATCCTGTCTAATACACTTTAATAAAATGCTGCTTGCATCAAAGCCAACTTTTACATGTTCCAAAATATCAGCATTCCTCTGGTTACTGTTTGCCTGACATTTACTCATTAATTCACTCAACAATAGCAGTGTACCAGGTGCAGCTGAGAGAGTCAAGATGCCGGGGTGGCTCCCACAGGAGAGGGCGGGAAGAGAATGATGAGAAATGGAGTGTAGGGAGCAGAAGGGTATGGAGAAGAGCTGGAAGTACCAGGGAGGAGCTGGGAGTAATTATAAAGATTTTGGCTTTTGTTCTGAGTAAGATGGGTTTTGAGCAAAGACAGAAATAACAATACCTGACTTTTAGTTTAACAGCATGGCTCTGACCAGGTGAAGGGGAGCAGGTGATCATCTGAAAGAAAACATTTGCAGCAAAACAATTAAGAATTACTGGTCTATGTATGTCTCTGCATGTGAGATTGGTCTCCTGAATACAGCAAACTGATGGGTCTTGACTCTTTATCCAATTTGCCAGTCTGTGTCTTTTAATTGGACTGTTTAGTCCATTTACATTTAAGGTCAATATTGTTATGTGTGAACTTGATCCTGTCATTGTGATATTAGCTGGTTATTTTGCTCTTTAGTTGATGCAGTTTCTTCCTAGCATCGATGGTCTTTACATTTTGGCATGTTTTTGCAATGACTGGTACCGGTTGTTCCTTTCCATGTTT